AAAAGTAAGTATTTCAATCTCACTCCCCAAAACCATGTTGGTGTGATGCGCAAATTTGAAAGTATAATTCATGAATTAGTGTCTAAGCAACAATAAATAGAAAAGACTCTATTATGGGATTAATCTTTACCATGTCCATTTGTTCCAAAGTTTAAAATAATCTATGGATATTAACTTAAAAACAAAAATTTTAAACAAGACTCAAAAATAAAAAATCTCAAATTTTCTTTCCCAACCCCAAACTTAAATCACACATTGTCCTCAAGGTGTGGAAAATAAACAAAGGAAATAACCAAAGAAGTAAATTAGGAGAGAAAGAAAATAATAATAAAATAAAATAAAATGAAAGAAAGGAACATAAAACAGAAACAGAAAGTAAAGAAAAGGAAAAGAAATAAAAGAAAACTAACACACCATGAAGGCAGGGACGCTTTGGTGATTCGAATGCTGGACCAGTTGCTGCGTGTGGCGTAAAGGCACTGACCAACTCAACCAAGTTCGTGCTTGCGTCAAACATGGGCGACAACTGCAATATAATCTGGTCTAGCTGCTGCATCTGTCATTTGAAAGATAATAGATCCCCTTCTACCAGCCTGAGCTCAGAGCAGCAAGGGTCTCCTTATTTTAAAAGCCAAAGAAGGAGCGAAGCTTGTCGGTTGCTGGGCCTAAGTGGGTGCTAGGCCGGATGCTCAGAAAATGGGGATTGGGGTTGGTGTATTGGAGTTGGGTCAAAGAACCCCATATCTGCGCAAATGCCTTACCCCCAATTTTCGCAGTGAAATCGACATTATACGGTGATGTGCTGGAGCTAGTGGAGGAAAATTCAATTCTTGGCATGTTTAGTAGCTGAAGGAGCCTGATCTGAAGGTGTTGGAAGCCTCTTGGTACATGCCTCTGTCTCAAACCTCTGTCAGCACTGTTACTAACATCCACCTGCATCCATGATGGTCCTCGATCTCGCAGCACCAATGCCTTTCGATATCCATCCAAAGGTAAGAGTAATTCTAGAATTTGTTTTGGGTCCTGATCTGTAAAGAAGTGTGTTCTTTGTCCCTGCAAGTACTCATATTGGTGCTCGCTGTGTAAGGTCTGCGGATCCAAGAGAGATTCAAGGGAAAGGGCAATAAACACACAAGCTCGAAGGAAAAAAAAAACAAAAAGCCTTTAGGACCCAATCCGTGCATCTCATAGGTATAATTTTGAATCCCTTGCATCTTTGAGTAAGCGCATGTTAATTGCCTGAATTGCCAGCATAGTGTATATGTGGTGATGTTAATGTAGACTTACTGCTGGGTGCATGATTCCAGTGTAGACTTGCTGCTGGGTGTTGGATTCCAGCGTAGGATTTTTGTTGTTGTTGATGCGTGCTACTGAATGTTGTGTCTTTCCCAGTGTAGACTTACTGCTGGGTACAGGATTCCAGCATATGATTTTTTTGCTTTTGATGTTTGTTGCTGATTGTTGTGTCATGCATTGAATCAATTATGTGTTATGAGTAAAAATAAAATAAAAACAACTAGATAAAGAAAACAGCAAAAAAATTGTTTTTTTTTTTTGTTTTTTGTTTTTGGTTGAAAAAAACAAAGAAGTAAAGAGTTAAGAAAAATTGGGTTGCCTCCCAATAAACGCTTTATTTTAAGTCTGTAACTAGACTTTGCAGAAGCTTGGTGGTCAAATCACTGGTTCCTTCAGAGTTAAAGACTCGTTTTCAGTGTCAAAGGGTGTCTCCACGTAGGGCTTCAGCTTGTGTCCATTCACCTTGAATGAGTTGCCTTTAGCTTCATTAGTGATTTGAACTGCTCCATGAGGAAAAGCTTGAGTCACCAGGTAGGGTCTAGTCCAGCGAGATTTTAATTTCCTTGGAAATAACTTGAGCCTTGAATTGAATAACAAAACCTTTTGTCCTAGCTGAAATTCCTTCCGTAAAATTTGACTATCATGAAATGCCTTAGTTCTTTCCTTGTAGATGCGAGAACTGTCATAAGCACATCGACGAATTTCCTCCAGCTCATTTAACTGCAGTTTTTGCTTTTTCCTAGCAAATGGTTTATCAGATTGACCTGTATTTGAACTGGCATAAAAACTATCTTGAACCATACTGTCTACCACGTCAATCCGCATACATTCTTGCTGCTCATGAAAATGGTACTTAGGTGACGAGGGGTAAATTTAATCACACAAACAAGACACAACAACACAGCAATCTACACACACTTTAAACCTTGACCAAATACACATATGACTAGTCAACTGCTAGTCATGAACAATCACAATCAAGAGAACACACAGAGCATGCCACAATGTACCTGCAACCCTAGAAGATTACTAGTGACAACCTAGGCACTCAAAAGGACCCGTCAATCTAGGCATCCCCTGTGCTAGCAACAACTATGGTGAAAGTGTGTGAAATCATCATTATCATGTAAACATCAAACAGCAGATAAAGATGACTAGTCAACCGCGAGAACCCAGATGACTAGTCAACTATCAAGAACACAAACCCAGAAAATTTACAGATATGCAAACCAGAATTTGTTCACCCAGAAACCCACCATTGGGAAAAACTGGGGGTCATCAACCGACCAGGCAATCCACTAAGTAGAAAAAGATTCTTACAAAGAACACTAGCAAGCTCAAGAAATTCCTAGGTCTATTTAGGAAGATGAGCTATACCTCCTTTGTGCAATCTTCTTCTCCAACTTAGCAAAGCTTGAAGCTCAGTTCTTCATGGCAATGGCAGCTCCTTCTCCAGCTCGTTCATCCCATGGCACTAGCTTGCAAGCTCCAACACAAACCGAAACCAATTTGGATTCAAAGGAGAAAGACCAATTTCTTCAAGAAACCATACTCTTGAAGAAATCAATCTTGAATCTGACCTAGATATAAATGA